AGGGAAAGCATGGCTCAACTTGCAACCAGGTGACAAGGCAGATTACAAGGGAGGAAGGGACAGGAGGATCATGAGAAATGCCTGAGTGTGTCAATTGCTCTTGACTTCCAGATCTTCCAGAAGTTGGCAAGAGTCTTACTTATCTCATTGCCTTTGAGGAATATACAGGGACAAGTCCAGGAGTTGGGGATGCCTGGTTGTGTAGCCTTAGACAAGCCACTCTGAGCCTTAATTTCTTCAGCCATAAAGATGAGGTGTTGGTCAGATAGTTTCTAACATCCTTTATTATCCCCTTGTTTTTCTTCTTCTTTAACTCTCCCCAAAAAAATGCTAAGGAGGGGTTTCTAGTTCTGTGACTTGATGTCAAAGTAAAATTGCTTTTGTGACTGTGCCCTTGGAATTGTTTTGGTCGATAAGCCCACAGATGCTAACATTGTCAAGGTGAATGTTATCTTAAAACATGTGATGATGCTGCCAACCAGAGATCTTTTTCTTAAGAATCAACCAGCCCAGAAGCCAAAGCTCCCCTTCTTCAAAGGTGCCAGGTGCCAGTGACCAGCTTGTCTTCTCATCAGAAAACTCTAATGTTGCATGAAATGAAGAGGCTGCTCTTGATTGTCCAATTCCCTATATAGTGAACAGTGAGCTCCAGAGCCCAGAACAAGACCCTGTTTATTTCATGAGCTCTCTGCTGTAAAAGGGATTTTCTCTGAAGTCCTTGCCTCTTTATATGAGACTATATTAAGATGGCCTTGCTCCGATCCACCCCAGAAATGCTGCTGGGAGCTGCATCCACCCATCCTACAGTGCAGGTGTTTTAAATGACTTCTTCTTTCAGCTGAAGCCTGCAGGAACAGCATGCAGGGGCTCCAGCAACTCCTGCGACCTCCCAGAGTTCTGCACTGGGACCGGGCCACAATGCCCAGCCAACGTGTACCTGCATGATGGGCACCCGTGTCAGGGAGTGGATGGCTACTGCTACAACGGCATCTGTCAGACCCATGAGCAGCAGTGTGTCACACTCTGGGGACCAGGTATGTGGCTACCACCAGTTCTGTGCAGGGAGAACCCTGGTAGGCCTGAGGCAGTGAGAATGGGGAAGTGCACTGTTTCCACAGTCTTTACTCCTAGGGCAAGGTCGACAACGTGTCCAATCTGTTCAGCTGGGAGTGGCTGGCCACCTGGTAGGGGATGTGTCCATGCTGGACATGCGATGGATACAAAAGGACACTGCCTGGTGTTTGCCCTTAAGGAGCTCAATGCAGTTCAACAAAAGATGTGTGAGCACCTACTCTATGCTCCATGGGATGACAGGGACAAGTCAGCCATGACCCCTGCCACAGAAAGCTTAGTGTAAGTTATACAGACAGACAGAGAGATGAACAGAACTTTCAACACTACTTAGATTGTGAACACTTCATGTTCAGATGAGGCACTCCATAAGTGCCCAAGAGCAAAAGTCACTGCAGCTAGAGGCACTGGAGGGCAGCGTGGGGAACGCACCTGATAGAGCTTGATGCACAAGTAGGTCTGTGGTCAGGAAGAATGGGGAGCAGTGAATTTGCTCCCAGGCACAAAGCACATGGCACAGAAGGGACAGATGGATGGGAGACTTGGGTACCAGTGTTCACAAGGGAATGCAGAGATGAATGTGTGAAGGCCTGGAATGCCACTTGATCCTGAAGGCAGAGTGAGACTTGGTGGTATTCCAGGAAAGGCACCCAGGTGAGAAGGAGGCCAGGAAGCAACTGCCTCAGAGGCCACCTCTTTAGCACTTCCTCAAGGTGGACTGCTTAGCACCTTTGTCTCTTCTGACCTCCTAGCAATCTCCTGAGGTAGAGACAATAACTACAGTTTGCAGAAACCAAAGCTCAGACTCCAAAACCAGAAGTCAGTTTCCCAGGTCATTGACCTAGGATTTGAACCAAGACATCATGCACTGTGTGTAATTCTCACAAAGCACAGTGATCCCCAAGCTGAGGTCTTTAACTAAAATTCTACCGAAGTTCTTTAAGTAGAAGCTCAGATGCAAAAGGGGGAAGAATCAGTCCCCGTGTATGTATCTCCTCCATTTTGCCACCTTCTGGTATCAGAAAGCCAGGGCTGCAAAGGGCAGCCCAAGATCCTCACACATTCTAGGGACCATTTGGGATTGGCTGTCTGCCCCCAACTCCTAGAATCTTGGCTGTGAGTCCCATTAGGGAGTATTTTCTGAGAGCGCAGACCTTACCCTTTCTTTTCACCTTCTCTCTTTCTCTTACTACAGTCCTTGGCATACTCCCTCCTCTGACTAGTTTTAGGGGTGACCTGAGTCCAAGCCAGAAATCTCAGCTCTGTAAAGGCCAGTGTGGTCAGCCAGGTCCAGGCTGAGAGTTGAGCACACTGAGGCAGAAACTGTCTGGAGAGAAATCTGATATGAACCTTTGTCAGACTTTTGCTGTGAGGTTTTGGTTTTAGGAATGATGAGGTAAATGAACTAGCACAGAAAATGATGACTAAACATTAAAGCTTGGGTTTGGGGATTTTTAAATAAAAAGATTTCAAAATTAACATATAATAGTGGTACATATTTGTGGGGGTACAGAGTTATTCTTTAGTAGATGAATACCAATGTCCAATGACCAAATCAGGACAACTAACGTGTCCATCATTTCAACCACTCATCACAACTTCATGGGAAGGTTGAGATTTAAATGTGATGTGAAAGCAATGAGCAAGCAGAGAGAATAGAATGGGCACTTCTTGGAGGTGTGGACTGCCAAGAAACTAGTCAAAGATGCCCCTTTGCCTTCGAAGCTTTCTGCAGTAGAAGTAGTAGTTCCCCAGAGTGATTCTGTCCTGCCTGACTGTCCTCTGGAGCAGTAGTTTTTTATTACCATCCACCTTCTCTCCCACATACTTAAGTGCATGCCACCACCCCATGGAAGATTCGATGGACATGGACATGATTCCCCTGAGGTCTCAGAACTACCTTTTTGATTGTGAATTAAAGGCTGACAAAAGTTATCACTTTAAGGTTGATGATGATAGAAATGAACACAGGTTGTCTTTTGAAAAGATTAGTTTATGGATGAATTCGATGAAAAGGTTGAGTTGTACACTGTTGAAGTAGAGGTGATGAATTATGAAGGCAGTTCAATTAAGGTAACACTGGCAACATTAAAAATCCCTACACTACACGAAAACAGACATGAGGACCAATGGAACATATTAGAGACCCCAGAAATAAATTTCAAGACATATAGCCAACTTATCTTTGAAAAAGGGTACCAGTCTATCCACTGGGAAAAGGAAATCCTCTTTAGCAAATGGTGCTGGAAAAACTGGGTATCCACCTGCAGAAAGATTAATCTGAACCCCTCTCTGTCACCATTAACAAAAATCAACTCAAAATAGACCAAAGATCTAAATCTTTTGATATGTATATCATGAACTATAAAACTACAGGTGGGAAACATCAGGGAAACTCTGGGAGACATTGGGATAGGCAAAGACTTCTTAAGAAAGACCCCCAAAGCACAGACAATAATATCCAAAAAAGACAGGTAGAATTACATCAGAGTAAGAAATTTCTGCACAGCAAAGGACACCATAATTAATGTGAATCGACAACCCTCAGAATGGGAGAGAATTTTTGTTAACTGTGCCTCAGATAGGAGACTGATAACCAGAATACACAGATAACTCAAGCAGCTTACCCAGAAGAAACTGATTAACCCAATTAAAAGTTGGGAAAATGAACTGAATAAACAACTCTCTAAGGAATATATATGAACAGCCAAAAAGCATATGAAAAAATTCTCAAGATCCCTCATCATAAAGGAAATGCAGATCAAAACCACAATGAGATACTACCTAACCCAGTCAGAATGGCAAAGATTAAAAAAAAATAAGTGCTGGAGGGGATGCAGTGAAAGGGGAACACTCCTACACTGTTGGTGGGAGCATAAATCGGTCCAGCCACTGTGGAGAACAATATGGAGGTTCCTCAAAGACCTTCAAATAGAATTACCATATGATCCAGCAATTCCACTCTTAGGTATCTACCCAACGGACAGGAGAATGCTCAGTTGGAAAAGTGCTTGCACAACGATATTTATTACAGTACTCTTCATGATTGCTAAGATATATAAACAACCCAAAAGTCTACAAACTGATGAATGGATTGAAAAAGTGTGGCAAATATACTCCATGGAATATTATTCAGCCATTAAAAACAGCAAGGCCCTGTAATTTGATAGAAAGTGGACGAATATGGAAGATTTGTTGCTGAGTGAAGCAAGTCAGGCTATGAAAGAGAGACATTGTATGTCTCCACTTAACATAAACAGACTGCACTCTACGGTAGAGACAGAAAGACTGGAGGACATAAAAGTATTAAAAATTGTTATGGACACTAAAGACAAAGTGGAAGGGGAGTGTGGGAGTGGAAGAGTACAGGAAAGGAAATTAAGGGGAAAAATGGAGAGATAAGATATTTGTGGGACAGAGAAATAGCTTGTTATTTGCTGATTAGGATGTATATAGTATTCTCAACTGGACTGAGATGTGCATCATGTTGGGTAAAATCTCTTTACAATCTAAATGATGTATAGCAATCAAATGTATTAATAATAATAATAATAATGATAATAATAATAATAATAAATCCCTGTACACACAATAGTTTCCCTTGGGAGCTTTGAAGTAACACTACCTATGGTCTTAAGGTTAAAGTAGCCTCTGTATACCCAACCCTCTGAGGAGCTCTTCCAATGTTTCTCAGGAGTCATAGATGCCTTGAGCAGATATAATGAGGAAGCCTGCATTTCCTGGGCCCTGAGTGCTTCATATTTGGATCCTAAGCAGCCCTCATCCTTGACCTCTTTGCCTGTTGGGCTATTAGGTCCTCTAGGCAAGGGTGGCAGAGGAGGGGTTCTTGCCTAGCAATGACAAATACTAAGTAGGCACTCACTATACACATGGCAAATAGTTGTATGGACTCTAAATAGTTTAGTGACTTTTGATACCTTTTATCCAAAGAAGGTCACTTTGGGACAGTGGCTACTGTTTCAGGTCAGATCTTCATGGCCTAAAACATTCCCAGTGGCTGTCTCTTTCCACT